TTGTCCATAGCTTGTCATGATCCACACAATCGAAAGCCTTTGCATAGTCAATAAAGCATAGGTAAACATCTTTCTGGTATTCTCTGCTTTCAGCCTTATCCATTAGACCTCTTGAAATATTAGCATTGTTCTTGGAGAAGTTGAGAAGAAGCAGGGTCTACCTAGAAAGTGGCAGAGGAAGAGTTGGTGAGAACAGCAAGAAGGGGCCAACAGGCTTTGTCTAAGGGTGGCCCTGAGGTCTGAGACCTCCCAAAGGCTGCACCTGCTGATCACTCCTCAGTGACCAGCTCCTACCCATGTGGGCCAAAGTGGTTTGGGTTGCTGGGCAGCTGCTCTGAACTCCCAGCCCAGCACCCCCATCTTAGTTCTAATGTGAGTGAGTCAAGTGGCCACAGAGTTGGACCTGAGCCAAGTCCCATCTCTGGACTTACTACCTGTGTCTTGACCAATTTAACTTTCCAAGCTTCCATTTTCACATCTATAAAATGGTTCTTATAAAACCCTCTCATTATTTCTGTGAAGATTAAATGAGAAAGTGTGGAAATTCCTAGTACACAGTTTTCTTTTCTTTTTTTTTTATTGTTTTATTGTGAATTATATGATAGTTTACATGAGAGAACTTTAGTTTTACATTCATTCCATCGTATATCATTTCATTGCCATGGTTCCAATCCCCTCCATGCATCATCAACCAACCAAAGGGTATACCCTAGAAACGCACCCCCCCTACACTCCCCCCACCCTCACAGTCTTCAGCACACAGGCCCTCTCCCTCTCTGGATCCAAAGTCCCCAGCCGCTTCATCACTCCATGTCATCATCTCTGTCTCTATCTCAGGCATCTCTGCTTCTCTGGGTAGGGTCCCACTCTCAGCTCTTCTCCTTTAATGGTCCTAGAGACCTCCGCTCCTAGACTGGAGAATTAATCACTCCCTTCCTTGCTGCAAAATGTCTACCTTTGCATTTCCAACCCTCATAATCAGTCCTCATAACCATTATTCACTACAGTATCACGAGTTACCCATCTGTATTTCATTTCATCAGCTCCACCTAGACAGATTGGATAGTACCCACCGGAGTTTCTGCCTTCCTCCATGCCCCCTAGCTCTGGGTTCCCTCTTGAAAGCTTGTAAGCCAATCACTTCTTACCTTTGTAGTCCCCCCCTCCCCATTTGGGTATCCAATGTCCAAGTTGCCCATCTCTGTCTACTCTGTGTGTAGAGGAGGTGGGAATGTTTCTTGCTGTAAGGGTTTGTTCCTTCTTTTGAGTCACTGCATTCATAGGTGTAGGTCAAGTTCATCAGATTATATCAATTCACTCTTTTTTTTTTTCCTCTTCTTTCTTCTCCTGGTTGAGATCACAGTTTTCTTTTTATAATGAATGCATCATCTCCAAATAGAGATTGTTCTTTATCTGTCCCAAACATCAAACATTCCCAAGTCATAGAGCTGAAAAATCAACCCAAGAGCAACCCATACCAAACCCAATAGAGTAGAACTGTCCTATCAGGTTTCCAAGGCTACAAATCTTTATGGAAGCAGACTTGCCACAGCTTTCTCCATGGAGTGGCTGGTGGGTTTGAACCATCAACCTTTGGGTTGGTGGCCAAGTGCTTTAACAACTGTACCACTAGGGCTCCTCAAGCAAAGACCAGCCCCATCCTATGATTGTTGTTGTTGTAAAGTGCCATCAAGTCGATTCTGGCTCATAGCGACCCTGTATACAGTTTCCAAGGAGCAACTGCTGAGTTTCAACCACTGACCTTGGGGTTCAAACCAACCTTATAGTCGAATGCTTATCCTACAGCACCAAAAGTTCAGAGAGGTTCGGTGACAGATCTGGGTGGAAAATTCTCTGACTTGCCTTTCAGCAACTTTCCCATGATGCCTTTCTGCACCAATAACTGTTTTCTTACTAGGGTTCCATGCACGCACTAGATTGTGAAGATGCCCCCAGGATCCATTTCATGGTTGCCTCTCATGGGAGCTGCCTGCTGGTTCCTACCTCTCTCTAGTGGTGTCACATCCAACCATGATTATCTATCCCCAAGCAGGCACCAACACTGCAGCCCTTTGAGCATGGGTATGTTTTAACCTTCCATGTGGACCACGGACCTTCAACACATACTCTTCATTTCTAATATCTGGAGAGCGAGAGCCCTCTTTCTTATTTTCCAGCTCAGTACTAGATTTCACATTTTTAAAAAAGAATATAGTTTATCAAGCACATCTATATTTGAGGCAGAAGTAGGACACCTCTGTGAGCTCGATTGAACAACTTAAGAAATATCATAGATTGTTTTTTCTTGTGTTTTGAATATATTCTGACCCCAACAGATCCTATTTATCCAATTTCTCTGTGGGTTTAGCTCATGGCAGGAGCTGAGAGTATGTGAAATGTGGGTAGAACTGGGCTGAGGGAGGTAAATGAAGGGAATACAAGGTTCAGGGAGTCTGAGGAAGGAAGAGAGTATATCTGAAGAAGAAATTCCTAAGTTGGAACAAATGGATCTAGAGTCTCTCCCAGACTCTATCTTACAGATTACTGGGAAGTCACCAAAGGCCAGCAAAGAGCTGTGGTCCTACCCACAGGTGCTCAGATTAGACTCAAGTACTCATGGGCATGCTCCCTGAATGGAAGGGAGCAGCCACATCCTATGGCTGGGCCAGGCTGATCATACCTCTGCACACGTCATACAGCCCTCTGCTGTGGGCCTCCTCCTGACTACAAACTGGTAGGCTCAGGATCTCTCTGGAGGCACAGGTGTAAGGAGGAGAGGGAGGAAGGAAGGGTATGCACAGCCATCCAAATGGTCAGACACACGTGAGAGAAAAATAGACTGAAAATGTGAACATAGAAGATCAAGTCAGAAGAACATAGATATAGAACTGTTTCCAGATTCCAGAGACCCAGAAATAGAACTTCCATCTATCCATCCATTCATTCATCCAGCCATCCATCCTTCCATTCATCCATCCTTCCATCCATCCATCCATCCATCCATCCATCCATCCATCCATCCATCCATCCATCCATCCTTCCTTCCTTCCTTCCTTCCTTCCATCCATCCATCTATC